AAGCATTTGTGGATGTGAAAAACACTTAAATCAGAAATATAAACACTAAGAAACATAAACATAAGTTGACAAAATATAAGAAATAAGAGATGATTAAACTCAGAAATGGAACAGCAGCAGCAGCAATAAACATAAAAAAATGAAGGCTGAGTTATAAGAAATCCAAAAGAGAACAGAGAATAGATTTAATGAAAACTTAATGAAGGTCACTGAAGAAAGGCAGGAAAATGACCAAGGTAAAATGAAATACAAAAAAAAAACAAGTCAAGAATAAAGGTCAGAGAAAAAAAAACAGTGGTTGATATAGGCAGCAAGCAAAGGAAGTCAGATATATATATAATTGGAGTCCCTAAAGAAGAAAACTCAAAACAATGGGGAAAAATCCCTAATATATACACTATAATACAAACAAATTTTCCACAAACAAAATCTGAATATACACATAGAAAGAGTCCACTGGGAACCAGAGCAAAATGATATATGACAATAAACTCTGACTTGTAAAAGCATTAAATTTTAACAATAAAGAAATAAAAAAAATTTCAGGGCCTCCAGGCAAACAGAGGAAACAAGCTACAAAGGCAAGAAAGCTGACATCAGATTTCTTTAAAACACCACACAAAACCAAACCAACAGTGGAGCAGCATTTTCAAAAACAAGGGAGAAAAGTGCGACCTTAAGGATATTTACATCCACTCAAGCTGTCCTGCAAGAATTGAGGCCACAGGAAAACAGTTTAGAACATCTCAGAACTCATAGGATGTACAACTGTGCCTCTCCTGATGAATCCCCACTAAAGAATGAGCATTATTTAACCAAAAGATGACCAATAAAACTACAAAAAAAGAACCAATAGTAAGCATCTCATCTACTTCATTCTACAGAAAAGGCTAAACGGTGGGGTCATGGTTTTTTTTTTTTTAATGTACTATTAAACATTTTTCAGATAGAAGTGCAAATCATTGTAAGTTACTAGTAAACTCCATACATAGGAAAAGAATCCAGTGCATTTCAAATGCTTTGACTATTTATTATAATTTTAATATATTAATCATGCTACAGCATTTATAATGAGAAGCTGCTTGTTAACAGTACGAAAACTTCATTAACACAAAACAAGACAAAAACACTAAACTTAACATGGTTAGTCACAGTGGAACTCAGTAGGATAGGGAAAATAGGCTTTTAAATGGTAATACTTTCAAGAATGTCCTCAAATGATTCAACTGCAGCAACAGAATATATTTTTAAAGCTCAAGGAAAAGTTTATGATTCACATTTAAGGCAGGTTATTATTTAGATAGTTCAAATAGCAAATGAAAATACATTTTATAAAAGAATATGATTTCACATAAAATTAGTTCCTCAATCATACTGTCTCTTGGCCTATATTAAGATGATTCTACATCCACATATACAAAGAATTGGGGATTAGGGACCACAGATACAATGTGTAAAGATCAATAATGCCAAAATAATACACAACCACAACAACGGTGATAAATTTAACATTTACTGACTACTTACAGCATGCTTATAAACTGCTTAGCATAATCTCATTCAATCCTCACAAAAAGCTTATGAAAATGATTACTTTATTATCCCCATATTATAGCTGAGGACATTGGGTGTAGGAAATTAGCTAACTGAAAGAGTCACAGAAATATAAGTAGTGAAACCAGGAATAAAATCCAGATATTACAGATTTCACAGTTTGTGCCCTTAGATCATATGGCACTCTGCATGTATATTTATAATAAAATCTCATTTTAATACAGTAACTTACCCTAGAATAGAATGTTTTTATAATAGTATGTTTTATAATAGTATGTTTTTGCATACTTACTATGATGAGTTTGTCTTCCTTAAATTTATTCAAAAATTGACAAGAGGGAAGTAGTCTAGTCTTTTAAATGAAGTTCACACTACTTTAAAAGGGATAAAGGCCATATTATTTCCCTAACTATAACGGTGCAGCCAAGAGGGGGGCCCCAAATAGGGATTTGTGATGGGGTCCAGAACTCAAGGTATCCAGGAAATATTAGAAAAATATATACAGGATGTCCTCACCCCTCACCCCTCATGTCTGAGCTGGGGGAATAGGACACATGGAGCAAGCCCATTCCAAGCTGTGTCCTATAGCAACAGCTTTGCAGCTAACCTCTGGTATGGTCATTTAGCATACCTATAACCTTTAACTGGTTTCATGGATATGTTAAATAGCTGTGGCCATGCTTTGAGCCAGGGGGATGGAAGTGACTTCCACCCAAGAGATAAGTGGGAGGCAGCTCCCCCAGATTACAGTACCTGTGTGAGAGCTTGGAGAAGACTGGCTCCATACCATGGGGACACACCTGCCCAGACTTACGATAGTCCAGTAAAGCTGGAAGAACACAGTAATGCTGGCAGATGTAACTGACTGTAGGAGGAGTCGGACATGAGACTGCAGAGCAAGACTGGTGGGGGGATTTAAACTCAGGTGCGGCGGCTATGGCTATGCGGGGGAGAACCACGTGGCTTTGGGGTGCTACCTTTTGCCACGTGGCTTAGGAAGCAGGAGAGACTTTGCCTGGAAGAAAAGGGGTGAAAGGACTCTTGCTGGTGGGCCATGAGAAGGTGCCACATGGTACTGGATTAACTGGAGATCACGGCGGCGACACAGCTGATGGTGCTGGGAGCCTGAATCACGAACTTCTACTTCTTTTCCTGAGATAAGGTACCCCAGACTAGGGCAGAGGTAGAAGGAAGTACTGTGTGCAGGCTGTGGGTATTCTAAAGGACTTTAGTATTTTAATGAAGACATTGTCACTACTCTAAGTCTGTATAGCTTTAAAATAAATAATTCCTTTTCACAAATCTCTGGCATTGAGAGATGTCTTTCCTTTGGCAGCAGGCATAGCGAACCTAGTGTGGGGAGGACTCCTGGAGAAAAAAGGGAAGTCCTTTTGGTAATAGTATATCGTACACACCCACCTAGGGTCTGTTCTGTAACATAACCACCCTATAACCCCCACTATTCTGCCCTCAGAGCTGCTGCCCAGTCCACCCTACAATTAAATGTTACGTTTCCGTTATACTGAAAAACTCACAGCTTCATAACGCTGGCATGGTTCTTTCTCATTTCTAAGCCTGCCCACATGCAGTTCTCTCTGCAGGGTAATTCCCTCCCACCTTATTCCCTCAAGCCCATCAGGAGTTATTTTCTCCTTATCAAACCTCAAGAACCACTTTAGGTACGGCCTCTCTTGGGAATTTTTCTTAATACCCATTAATGTGAACTTTTGTCTATATTTTTCCAGTGTTTTCCTCTGTCATAGAATTTATCATACTGTATTATAAAGGTCTATCACTACTGGTGTCCTCAGTGTGCCAGTACAGAAGAACCTCACAACCAGACTTTAAAAATGCTAATCAATGGGATTTTCAAAATGTCTGAAGTTGTTACTTGAAAAGATCATTTATATTTACAGAGCTCATTCCAACTATGTATGTATGAATAGTATAATTAATAATTATGTTTTAATACCTAATTATTATTCAATTTGACATCTGGTGGCAAGTTATATTCTTTTAGTTAACTTTTAGATGATGCAATAGCACAAAAACGTCCAAAGTGATATTAGAGAACTGTATTAAAGTAATTTAACATTTTATTTTTCTTATTAAAAATGTTCTGTTTTTCCTTAGAAGGGTATACCAATCAGAAAAGCATTAAGAACAAACAAAAACTCAGACACAGGCAACAGTATGGTGGTTATCAGAAGGAAGTGGGGTGGGGGAGTAACAAAGGGTAAAGAAGGTCAACTCTGTGGTGATGGAAGATTTAACTTTGGGTGGTGGGCACACAATGCAATATACAGGTAATGTGTCATAGAACTGCACACTTGAAACCTACAAAACTTTATTAACCAATGTCATCCCAATAAATTTAAATATATACTAAAAATACATAAAAATAAAAAATAAGAGTAAAATGGGTAGCTATATTGACAAAGATTTGTCATTTGTTGTTATAAAAAAATATCTAAACTACTCCACTGATCATAACTCAATATTTGACCTTCAGCATGCTCTAAAAGACCTTGTTTTCCCCTCCTTGATGTCAGTGTCAAAGGTTAGAATTTACCCTGGTTTATTATAAATTGCTTTTAATACATGCATATACCTAAATGTTTCCAAAACCTATCTTTTTTTAAGCTTGTACCACCTTCTGAAGAGTTCCTCTGCTAATTTAGAAACCTTATTTTACCTTACTTCTCTTAATTTAAGAAACTCTCTACCATTCTAAGAATTAAAAAATAAGCCCATGTTCACTTTCAATTCACAGTGCCCATGTAACAGTGAGTTTGCAAAATAAAACGACGATTAGTTTTCTTTCTGAATGGTATAGGAATTGAATGTTTGGAGTAAAATAAAAAACTACATTCTAATCTTCACAGCATCAAGGAGCCAAGCAAAGGATACTGCTTAAGTAGCGACAAAAGAAAAGAAGAACATTAAGTTTTAAAAGTATATGAATCAACAGAATTCTAAATTCTACTTCTTGAACAAAGCAACAAGAAATAACAGAGATATAGAAAGGCAAGACAATAAAACAACACTTTATCAGTCCTTTCCCCTAATTATTCAGACAACATAAAAGAATATCATAACATAAAATGTTAAAACAAACCATTTTAAACCCTAACAACTACTCTTCTTAATATTATTAAAAACTCTAAGAGAAAAATCAAATAAAACCAAAAAGACCAAGCTGTCTCTAAAACTATAACAAAGAAAAAAGAAAACTATAACAAAGAAAAATATAAGAATGTTAATAAGATGTTCTCATAATAAAAACTTTATGAAGTACTACTAAGGTAATAAAACTTCTTAAAAATCACTATTCTTTAAATATAGATGTCTTTCTTTCAAAGATTTGATATCACAACATCACAGATTTTCACAAAACTGAGTCACTAACCTGTATTTTTTCATAATAAATCTGCAGTAATATTTACCTTCAGATCCCATGATGAAGTGATGGATATCAGGGCCTGTTGACATACGAGGTCCTTGACAGCTTTTTTCTATTATACCTCTAGGTGTTACCATTTTTATATGAACCACCTGTTTAATACAATGCACGATGTAAATTCTAGACATATGTCAGTGAATGCTGTGTGTATATGTACACACATCCATATATTTATACAAAACACTATTTTTTAAATATTGGGTTAGGTGATAAATGTTGATGTCCTTCAGAATTCTAATGTCTTTTAGTAATTTTCAGACTAAAAATAAATTTTATAAACTTTAAAAAAGGGATGGATCTAAGATTCTTATTGGTTTAGGTATATTTATCATCCTAAGAAGACCTTAAGTACATTTCTTTAAACCAAATTTAGTCTTGGGTTATGCATATGGCAAAGAACTAAAGGAAAGAAAATACAAGCAATGGCCACATTTTATTAGGTTCATTCTTTCACTTATTTAACAATATTTATGAAACATTATTATTCATGTCAAAACTGCTCTAAATGCTTAGAATATTAAAAAAATAAAATTCTTGTCTCCTTATCCCCTCCTTCAAATTATCTAATCTGCCTACTTACAAGGAAAGAGTGAAAAGAATGAAGTATTAATTGTGATCAGGTCAAACTTGTGATGAAGAATTAAGATCGAGTGACTAAGCTAAAATGAGGGAGGGAAGACATGTGTGATCTCCCTGTGAGGTGTGTCTCACCTAGGTGAGAAGGCAAGTATACTGGGGCGGGGCGGGGCGGTGTAGTCTCGCAAAAATTCTGAGTTCCTGAGATCTGAATCAGAAATGGTTAGGTAAAAACTCAACACATTTTTAGAATAGTTTTTAGACAAATAAATAAAAATAGCCTGTGTTGTTGAAGAAAGTGAGAAGAAAATATCAACAAGCAACTCACAAATATAAGAAATAAGTATTGCCAAAGAGATCATTTTAAAAGTTTACATTTACTAGCAATTAAAGAAATAAAAAATTAAGACAAAATATAAATAAAGAATCCAATGAAATAAACATTCTCATAATGCTAGTGGGAATGTCAATTGGCACAAATTTCCTATAGAGAAATTTGGCTATAAGGATCCAAAGACTTGAAAATGTATAAGCATCTTGATACAACAATTCAAGTTCTAGGACTTACCCAAAGAAAACAAAGACGTATGCTAAGAAATATTACTAAAGTGGATATTTCTCCCTTGTTTTCTATAATTTTGAAATCTGAAGTAACTTAAATGTTCATTAATAGCTACAAATGGAACAAATGATACCTAATTCCGAATGAGAATGCCAACAGTTACACTATTATCAAAATAACTCCCGGATCAGCTAAAACAAAGTGGTGTGCACACAAAACCTTAGAGGTTATACTGCCTCTTACTAGAACATTTTCACTCAGGCTCTTTCTACACAAAAAGTTTTGTTTTTTTTTTTTCAGAAAAAATAAACATAAAAACCTATAAGGCAAAAGAGTAGAAATGACCAGATCATCTAAGTAAATTGATTAAAATCTTGGTAGAGTTGAAGACCAAAGCTCCATGAGGATTACAAAGTAATATTTATATATAAGTCAGATACTATGAAGCATTTACAAAACTTAAATATCAGTCACCTGAGGAGTACCCTTAAGTAATGACCATTGTGTCTTTTAACTTTTCTATCATACAGTGTTACCATAATCAAGAGAAGTATACTGAGAGGACTCCACCATCCAACTCGATTTTTAAAGGCTGTCATCATTTTATAATACTCTCTATATAGTAATCAATTACTATATAATAAATCAGAAAAAATTTACCAGGTCTTCAATATTGCCATAGATATTCTTCTTCATGCCTGATGCCCGAGTAGACACCCATCCTCCCACAGTGCTGAATTCCATGGAATCTGGTTCATGACCTGTACAATAACCACTTTCTTTAAGCTGAAAAACAAAAATGTAATGTTTTACTAGTGAAAATGGTCCCATTTCACACAGCACTCAACACATTAACTCTTTCCACTTTAAAATTCCCATATGTCCCTGGAATTTGGACTCATTAAAACCTATATAGAAAAAGAAATACTTCTTTATCATAATTGCCCAAAAAAATTTTTAAGCTTTTGCCTCAAGGAAAACTTTACAAAACTAAAAAATGTGATCCAAAAGACAGCTGTATTTTCCACAATTGACCATCCAATCTTACTCCTTATATCCTTTTATTTTAAAGCCAACTACCCTCCCTAATTTTTTTTTCACAGAGACCATTTAAATACTTATAGAGATCAGATTATTCTTAAACAACTGCCAACTTCACCTAAACACTTCCAATAAATAAAGCACTTAATCTCTGTTCTCCCTACCCTAATATAATATGCAGCAGGCCTGCAGAAAATCCAAGCAAATTGCCTGTACTTAATTCTCTCAAGGAGTCATGTGTTTTAATGTACAGCCATCTGGCTAGGTTTCCTGCATGTAATACTGTCATTTATTTGTGATGCAGATCATGCATTCCTGTACATTAAATAGTCACTTGTTTCTCATTTTTCTAAATTAGTTTGGCTTTGCCATCTGCACAGCACCTGAGGTTGAATGGGTGCCCTTTACTGCAACAACACTGAAGCCATTCCACCGAAATCATTTTAAAGATCCAGCCATCTCGCATCAAACAGTACAGACACCACCATCTGCACACCCACTGTCTGTTGCACTCAAGCCCATCAATCTGTGTTGACCATTTGATAGTCGTCCAGTTAAGCAACTGCTTCTATTTTTCAAGTAAGCCATGCGTAGATGTAGAATATGTCAGCTATGTTTTATACACATATTTAAGTACAGTATGAAAGTTGTAATCCAAAATTTGAGGGCCAATTAGGTTAAATATAATTTGTTAGCTTCTGTAACACAAGCAATACAAATTATTTACCTTTTCTAGTTTTGTTGCTAGGAAAACAAGGTCTAAAAATATATCAGTTGTTACATAATAGGATTTTTTTTCACCAAATCCTTAATAAATTTATTTAATTTTGAGAGATTAATAATCACCCACAAGTAGGTAGCTTAAATACATGACTGAACAGATAAAAATAAAGATTATCAGACTGCTAATAGTTCTTCCCTAATTTCCAAACGATCTATATTCATATTATTTACTCTCAAAAGGCTACTGTTACTCAAATTTTCTAAAATTAGGAGAAGGAAAAGAAAAGACATTCATGAAGGACTTAGATGTGCTAAGTACTGAACAGGGAGTTTTCACATATCCTCATGACAAAATCTCCACATTATGTATACAGAAGCAAATACACACCTAAGCTATTTCTGTGAGTGCATACAGAGTACTGAAAAGCACATACAAGAAAGTACATACAAGAAAGGAAACTACCCAGAACCAGAGAAAAAAATAATCTAAAAAAATCAGAGAACAGCCTGGGAGAATATACTTGCAAAAGATACATCTGATAAAGGACTGTTACCCAAAATATACAAAGAACTCTTAAAACCCAACGATAAGAAAACAAACAATCCAATTAAAAAATGGGCCAAAGACATTAATAGAGACCTCACCAACGATAGCAAGTAATCATAAGATGCTTCACATCATATGTCATCAAGGAAAGATAAGATAAAATATCAACAAGATACCATTACAAACCTATATAAACAGCCAAACTCCAGAACACTGCCAACACCAAATGCTAGTGAGAATGTGGAGTAATAAAAACTCTCATACAATGCTAGTCAAGATGTAAAATGGTACAGCCACTTTGAAAGACAGTGGCTGCTACATCTCAATATATAACCTAGTAACTGAACACCTTGGTACTTACTCAAAGGAGCTGAAAATTTATGTCTTATGAAAATCTGCACACAGATATTTACAGCAGCCTAATCATATATTGCCAAAGCTTAGAAGCAACCAAATGTCCTTTAGAAGGTGAATAAATAAATAAACTGTGGTATATCTAGACAATGGAATATTATTCAATGCTAAAAAGTAATGAGCTATCAAACCATGAAAAGATATGGAGGCCCCTTAAATGCATATTACTAAATGAAAGAAGCTAATCTGAAAAGACTACATTATTTTGTGATCCCAACTATATGACATTCTAGAAAAGGCGAAATTATTTAGACAATAAAAAAATCAGTGGCTGCCAGGGAGATGAACAGGCACAACACAGGATTTTTAGGGTACTGAAAATGTTCTGTATGATATTATAATGAGAAATAATGTTATTATACATTTGTCCAAACCCATAGAATGTACAAAACCAAGGAGGAACTCTAAGATAAACCATGGACTTTGAGTAATTATGTCAACGTAGGTTCAATCTTGGTGAAGTATCATTCTGTTAAGTGAGGGAGGCTGTGCATATGTGGGGGCAGGGGGCATGTAAGAACTCTCTCGGAACCTCCCTATCCCTTTTGTTGTAAACTTAGAACTGCTCCTAAAAAATAAAATGTTTTTTTAAAGAAATAAAGACATTTTCAGACAAAAGAGAAAGAATTCATCGACAATAAAGATATGTTAAAGGAAGTCCTCCAAGCAGTAGGTAAATAACACTGGATGAAATTAAAGGTACTAGAAAGGGTAACTAGATAGGTAAATGCATAATTTTTTTCTTATTATTTAAATATCTTTAAAGATAATTGCCTTTTCAACAAAAACAAAACAATGTATTATAGGCTTTACAAATAAAGTGACAATAATTACACAAAGAAGACCAGGGAATAGGGAAGTACTGTAAGGTTCTTATACTAAGCTCTGAAATGTTATTTTATCACTTAAAGGTACATTTTCAAGTTAAACATGTATAAACACTAAAACAACCCTTAAAATAACAAAACAAAAAGTTATAGCTAATAAAGAAACAAAGGAAATAAAACGGTATCATAAAGAATATTCAATCCAAAAAAAGAGGCAACAAATGCAGGGGTAAAACAACTAACAACAAATGCGAAATACTGAAGACAAAAAGCAAGATGCCAGACTGAAACTGAACCACATATTGAAGGTAAATGGTCTAAATACCGCAATTAAAAGGTATAGTTTGTCAGTTTAGATAAAAAGTAAAGACCCAATTTATGCTATCCACAGAAAAAAAAAGCACTTTAAATATAAAGACAAAAATTAGCTATAAGTAACAGAATAAACTAGGAAAAAGATATACCTTGCTAACAAATCAAAAGAAAACTGGAATGGCTGTTTTAATATTGGCTGAAGTAGATTTCAGGCCAAGAAATAGTATCAGGAAGAAAGAAAGGTCATTTTATATTGACAAAATGGTTCTCAATCAAGAAGATACAATAATCGTAAGCATCTATTTCCCTAATAACAGAGCTTTAGAGTATATGAAATAAAAACTGATTAAAACTACAAGAAAAAATAGACCTACAATGATAGTTGAATATTCTAATTCCCTTCTCTCAAAATTGATTTAAAAAGTAGACAGAAAATAAAAAAAGATATCAAAAGTCTGAACAACACCATAAATGAATTGACCTAAAAGACATTGACAGACTACTCCAACCAAAACCAGCAGAAGACACTCTTCTAAGTGTACATGAGACATTTATAAGATACACCATAATGTGGGCCATAAAACATGTTCAAATAATTTGAAAGCATTTAACACATATAAAGTATGTTTTCTGAACACAATGGAACTAACATAGAAATCAGTAAAAGAAGGATGTCTGGAAAAATACCCCAATTTTTGGAAACTAAATAATAACTTATAAGCACCCCATGGGGTAAAAGAAAAAAATCAAAAGGGAAGTAAAAAATATTTTGAAATGAATGAAAATAAATACACATATCAAACCGTGTAGAATACCAATGAATAGTTGGAAAAATGTATAGTACTGAAACCTACATTAGAGAAGAAAAATAATAAGTTCCCTCATATTCCATCTTAAAAGACAAAAATCATTTGACCAAATTGAACATTCATTCCTAATAAAAACTCCCTGCAAACTAAGAGAGAATGAACTTTTTCCAGCTTAATAAAGGGCAACCACAAAAAAAAACTTACAGTTAACATCATAATTAATTATAAAGAACTAAATACATCTCTCCTAAATCAGGAACAAGACAAGTAAGTCCATTCTCACTTCTTTTTGAACTTGTATTAAAGGTTCCAGCCAGCACAATGAGAAGAGAAAAATAAATAAGGCATACAGATTAGAAAGGGAGGAGTAAAACCGCCTTTATTCTCAAAGGACACGGCCATATATGTAGATAATCCAATGAGAACTACAAGAAAACTTTTAAAACTAATTAGTGAATTTAGCAAGATATAAATAAGATCGCTATACAAAAATCAACTGTATTTCTATATACTAACAGAACATTCAGAAATGGAAAACTTTTAAAAACATAATTTACTATATATACAATATTTAGAGACAAATCTCATTTTAAAAATATGAAGATCTGTATACTGAAAACCAAAAGACACTGCAGAGAGAAATTATATACCAAAAAACCCCCCCTAGAGATATTCCATGTTCATGAGTCAGAAGAATCAATATTGTAAAGATGTGGGTTCTAGCCCTGGCTGGTGTGGCTCAGTGGATTGAGCACCCGCCTGTAAACCACAGAGCTGCCAGTTGAATTCCCAGTCAGGGCACATGCCTGGGTTGCAGGCCAGGTCCCTAGTGGGGGGGGCACACCAGAGGCAACCACACATTGATGTTTCTCTCCCTCTCTTTCTCCTTCCCTTCCCCTCTCTCTAAAACTAATCTTAAAAAAAAAAAAAGATGTGAGTTCTCCCCAAAATGATAAAGAATTGATGCAAATCCAATCAAAATCCCAACAGGCTATTTTCACAGAAATTAACAAGCTGATTAAAAACTTCACATGAAGGTTCAAAGAACCAAGAACTGCCAATACAACTCTGAAAAAGATTTATGATAAATCTACAATAACCCAGACAATA